TGAGGCTGCTGGAAGGCCCTGCTGGAGCGAGGTCCGGGGCAGCGCGGGGGCTGCACGGGGACCCCACTGACACTCTGGACGTGCCGCCCCTCGGGCTCCCCTGCTCTAGGGGCCTCCCCAGGGCACCCGCCACCTCCAAGTGCTCCAGGGGACCCCAGAGGCGGGCTGACGCCCCACCAACTGTCTGGGAGATCCCAACCGGCCTGGGTTGCGTCTGCAGAGGCCAGGCTGGGCCATGCAGAGCCGGGGCAGCGGGAAGGCGAGGCTGGCCCTGGGCCCCGGCTGGGCGGCGGTGGCCGGAGGGGCTGGCCCCGCGGGGTGCCCCCTGGCTGGCCCCGGCACGTCCGCTCAGCAGCATTTCAGAGCTTGGGGGGTCCGTGTGCTGCTGCCTCCAGCCCGTGGGCGGAGCTTCCTCGGAACGGGCCGGCAGGTGCCAGAGGGACGGTGGCAGGGGCCCACGGGGGCCCACGGGGCCAGGCCCGCCTGCCGCACTGGCCAGCGTGGCGAGGTCACGCCGCAGGCCCAGGGCCCGTCGTGCAGGGACACGGTGGCCGGCCGAGGCCGGCTCCACGCAGGGTTTCGGGTGCGCCTGGCCCGCTCACCCTGGGCAGTCGCGCGGCCCCTCCCCGCCGGCCACAACAGGCCGCGCCCACCGAGGCCCGGGAGGTGCTGCGTCCTGGGAGCGGCCGGCGCGGGGCAGTGCCCCTGCAGCCAGGTTACTTGTTAACTCGCCCCGCTCCTGTTTGCCTTGTTCCTGGGGACAGGAGCGGCCTCTGACGGACCGGCACAGGGCCTGCCCAGTTCCTGGAGTCCAGCGTGCAGCCAGGGCCCTGTGGAGCTGGGGTGGCAGCGGCGCCCACTCTGCCTGCGGAGCCCCGGCCAGACCATGGCAGGTAGATGGGCAGGGAGGGAGCCCCCCGCCGGCCCCCGCCCCGCGGTACCTGCTGTCCCGCCAGCCTTGCGGGTGCAGAGGCCTCTGCCTCCCCTCCCCCAAGGCGAGGCTGGGCCCCGAGTCCTCAGCCGCCCGAGACCTGAGTCCAGGCTCGCGGGATGGGTAAAGCCCAGGGACACCGGGAGGGCACTGAGGGGTGTCCCTGGGGTGGGCAGGGAGACGGCACTGCCGACCCCCGCTGGGGGAGCTCCCCTTTCCGGGATGGGGCTTGCCCTGGCAGGAGGGGGGTCCCGGAGCCCCAGCCCCAGCGGGCCAGCCCCTGAGGCTGCCAGGCCACGTTGGGCCCAGCGGAGGGGGCTGGGCTGCAGGGCACAGAGCCTGGCCCCAGGCCCGGCCGGGCATCGCCACAGCGACGGGCCCACGGGAAGACCGGCCAGGCTCGAGTCCAGCGGGCCCTGCCCCCGGGCAGCCCCACCCTCCACGCGGCTTCTCCGCAGACGGGGCAGCCACGTCCAGGGCCGCCCACACCACGCCGCTTGTCCCTTCCCAGCTCACAGGTGGGCCGGGGCCAGCGGGCACCCACGCCCGGCAAGGCCAACCAGGGGGCCTCTTTCCGCAGGCGTCTGTGACCGGGCCCCTGGCTTCCTCTCCCCACCTGGAGACCAGGTCTTGCAGCCTGCCCCGGGCAGTGTGGTCGCTCTGAACTGCACGGCCTGGGTGGACTCTGGGCCCCACTGTCCGCCCCCCTCAGTCCAGTGGCTGAAAGATGGGCAGCCCCTGGGCAATGGAAGCCACTACAGCCTCCGCGAAGACTTCTGGTAGGCGGGCGAGCCAGGACGTGCCTGTGGCCAAGCCGGGGTCAGAGCCCCAGGGCCGACCCGGGTCAGGGTGATGGTCCCACGTGGAGCTGGGCCCCCCAGGCGCTGGTCACCTCGGCCTCTCCCTCGGTTCCAGACAGGTGGGCCTTGGGCATCTCCATTGCTCCTGGGCTCCAGGTGAGAGGGAGGGGCCTGGTCTCCCCAGGTTGAAGCCCAACCTGTCAGAGGGGCTTATGTCCAGCGTCCTGGGGGTCAACCTGACCGGTGCGGAGGACTATGGGGTCTTTGCCTGCTGCCTGGGGAACTTTAGCTCCGCCTCCTTCGTGCTCAGAAGAGCAGGTGAGGTGGTGGGTTGGGGCCTGGGGAGGCGGGGCCT